TTATAGGTCAGATGCTTTCTCAAGGCTTGTTCTGAAGCCTGATTTTTGCACTACTACAGACTTGTCTGGAAGTTGAATCTTTAAAGGCACCTCTTGAAACCCTTTAAAGGCTACTCTCAGAATCAGAGGATGCAAACCCTGCATTAAGTCTTGCCCTGTATGTGGGACTTTTGTTGTTTTGTTTAATCCCATAAGACACCGCTGTTTAAAAAAAACTTGGCTTGCTGTACTTTGTTGTTCTGATTAGGACCAAATTCTATTTGATCTTTATCTATGTAAAAATAGAGCTTCAGACTTTAATGGTACACCTCTGTTTAGATGTACAGCAAAAGATGTATAAATTCATTCTACTGCTTCCCTCTATCAGCAGAGCATAGCAGGAGCTCCAGGCTCTGCTGCTGCAAATCCAGTGGATCACCTGAAAGCAAGTGTGTGGCTTTGCTCTTGGCTTGTTCATTTGCAAGGGTAGAAGTTAGCATTTCTTGTTTTCAGGGCATGCCATAAATACTGCTTTCAGGCCCAGCATTTGATGCCTTGACTGCTTGAAATGGTCTTCTTCCGTGAATACTTTCTGTGTTATCAATAGGAGCCTGCTTGGCAGACAGCTCTGCAAATGGAGGACTGTCTGTGATTTGCCTCAAGTTTGTTGCTGAAATTCCTTCTCAGAAGCTTATGTCAAATGACAGCCTTTTTCTCAGGATAGGGTCATATAGTATTTCCTCAGCGTAGTTATTCTTTATTTTTGGTTCCTGTTCTTTCTCTCATAATGGAAAATCTGTAACAGGTGGCCACAGGCACACCAGACTTTCATGCTTGGGAGCATAAAGGACCATATGCTGTATGATGGTATGTATGGAGATAATAAGTTGAAGGAATAGGCAACCAGCTTATATGAAAAATAAGACCTGGCCTGAATTTTCAAACTGGCTAAACTAAAACTTTCTCTATCCTCAACTTGCTTGGTTGTTTTTCTGTTTTGCTTCTTGCTATCTGGTTTCATCTGGAAGTGAATTTTTTTCAATTTGTGAAGAGGAGTGTTCTGATATTTTTACCGGACACCCAGGGTGAGACCCGAGAAGCCTTCAAGTCAGTTGAACTTTTGCCATTGGCTTTAATGTGGCCACAATTTCACTGCATGAGAACCATTTTCCTTGGTTCTAAATAGGGTATGTTAGAAAATAACAGGAATCTTCGATGTGAGTTCTGTGTGAGATTTTGGACCACATGCTTTCTTATAGTCTAAAAGTGGTCAGTTTTCCTCCAGAAGACAGAATGATGCTTATCCAACATAAACCTCCCTTTAATATTCCCGTATTAGCAGTGATTTGCTACAGACCTTTAGTTTCCTTTTGTTAGATAACCTGCAGTTAAGAGCTTAAATTCTCTTTGGAAGACTCTGTTTGTGAATATATGAAATAACAAAAATAATGTTGGTTTAAGCTGAATTCAGTCCATGCTGTACAGCACTATTTACCCAGAGGTTGTGCCACTCATCCTTCAGCCACAAACTGGGGCCTATTTTCTAAACTGGCATCAGGTGCTATAGACACTGCATTTCCCTATTTCCCAGTATGCGAAGCTAGCTTTTAATTCTGTGTTCTGAGTCTTGGCCAAGATGAGATTTTGTGTGTTTGTTTTGTTTTTCAGAGACTGCTTAATGTCAGCCTCTAGTTTGTAAGGAAGAAAGAGGTGGATTTCATGAATATATTAAAGTATTTGTGATCTGAACATAGGCAAGAAATAACATTGTGTTTGGTCAGAAAATACTCTTCATAAAGATCTTACAGATACTGCTGACTACTTAAATATATGCCAGAACTGATCATATGAAAAAAGTACAACTGAAACTGAGCTAGCCCAGATTAGTTATCAGAAACTTAACCTGTTTTTTTTTCCTGTTTTGGTCTCCCCCACCCCATGATGGTGGGACAAATTCATTTAGCAGCTGATGATCTTGCATACTTTTCCACTCACACAAGTGCAGTCAGAAATGCTATGAGAAGATTCTGTTAAGGTCAGAACAAGCAATATGGAATTTATATGCAGAAAGGATATTTTAAGGGAGTTCAGGGAAAAAAAAAATTATTAAAGGATGTATACACGTTGCATACAAGGAAAATTTGTTGAGTCACTTTATCTCACTGTAGTCTCTTATTTAAAGAGTTCTGTAATTACAGGTTGATAATTTATTCCTGAAGTACAGATTAATTAGATCTGTGTCTGATCACAGACTTGATACTGTTTTGAAAAATCTTTTAATTTAGAACTCTCATCTTTTGCAAAAACTCACCACAAAACACAACTTTTCACTGTAAATAACTTCAGTCCTTGCACAAGACCTTGTACTTATCCATCAGTTCTACCATAATTTTTACTTTTTTTTAAAAAAAAAAAAAGGTCAAATTTGGTGTTTTCAAAAGCAGAAAGTGCTCAGAATATCTTGTAATGACTGCCCATGGACTGGAAGGGAAGGGAGGAGAGTTGAAATGGAAAATGAATTAGATTCTTAGTCTGTGGAAGGGGGAACATTCCTGCACAGAGAAGCGACTCTGGAGATAAGTTTTAATTTCCTGAGCTCCAGTCTCTATATAGGAACATTGAAAGACTTCCTTCCTGATAACCAAGTCAAGCCAGGGGCTGTATTAGACGATGTGTTTCTGTATATAATTGCGTGCTTGTATATGTATTTGCATACTTGCAGTATAAATGCAAATAGTGTACCTACAATGATAGAAGTCAACTTTTAAAGTGTGTTGCACATATTCAAGGACTGGCATATATACTGCCTGAGATGTTGTATTAGATCAGAATCTATTTAGACCTCTATAAAGAATCTGTTTCATACTTTGTCTCTACCAAAAAACCAAAACCCAAACAAAACCAAAAATAAAACACCCTCCCCAACCACTTGTCTTGCCTTTTTAACAGCATCTGGGTTATGGTGCACCTTTAAGAATGATCCAGTCACTGAGGTAACTGTGTTACAGATTTCTAACACATATGTCTCCTGCATATGCAATATTGTTGTAACCATTTCTGTCTTACTAAGGTCTCATCGTTTTGTGATTACTTAGGCAAAACCATGAAGTTCACTATGAGTGACATCTTAGTAAGAATTTCAGGAACAAATACTAGGAGACTTTGTTTACAGAAGGCACAAAAAAGTATAGGTCACTCCAGATTCTGCATTTGCAAAAATATGTTTCAAAGCCTAAGATTATGTTTTATTTTAGCAATTTTAGTTTCTAGTAAAACTGTTTTAATTTACTGTTTGCATCTTTTGTTCTTTTGTTTTTGTTTAATGAATCTCACAGTTTTTCTTCATCTGTTATAGGATCTTGGGATGAAATTGTAAGTCTAAATATGTAATACTCTTCTAAGCAGAGCCATGGTATAACTTGTTTTGTGAAGCACAGATTTACTTGAATTCCAGACTATTGTCTGGATATCCCAAACTGTAAAAGAAAATTACATACATCCCTCATTGCAGTTAGTGCAACAGCATCAGAGTTAAAGGTAATACTGAGCTGGTTTATGTTCTGTACTGTAATGGCAGATACATTGTTTTTCCCCCCCCCCCCATAACCATTCATAATTAAGACTTAGCAACAGAGTGTTTTGTATTGCAATGAGAGAAATTGTATTGACTTACACAATTTTAGGAAGCACCGAATGTTAATGTATTGATGGCATACAAGATTGGAAAATGACTTTCAATTGTTTCTAAATCAGACAAGTGTATTGTATAAATGCAACTTTATAGACTGTGTAGTTGTTTAACTTTTTTTCTATAGAACAACTTTGGAAAAAGGGAAAATAGCTGTAAAGTTAAAGAGATTCTGATGGTGCTAAAGTGTTGCCAAGCAAACCATAAAAGATAAGTCAAACTGTAATTCTGTAGAAAAGCTATGAAATATTTCTACATATGTGCTATAGTTGTTTTTGTGTTCCTGAAGCTGCTTTAGTGTAAAGTCAGCTGTAGAAATGGCTGGCTAGCTAAAAGCTATGATTCCTGCAGCTTGACTGTTGTGGGGAGATTTTTTTTTCTGTGAAAACAGTTGTAAAGTGGAACATCTGAAAAATATGTTCCATGCAAAATGGATCTTCACACACATTTATTTTGACATTTAGGTTTGATTTGAGAGAGAGAGAGAAGATTCTGAAATAGCCATTCACAGATGGCTTGTGCGGGTTTTATTTTATTATGTTTCTTGGTGTTTTTGGTTTGGGGTGGATATTTTTGCATGTGTTTGCAGACTTGTCAATCCCCTTTTTCCCCCAGATCACGTGTTTAATTTTTTATTACTTGAATTTTTGTCCTTTTTACCAGAAGCTGGTGCTTAAAAAGTAAAAAGAAAAAAGGAAAAAGAAAAATAAAACCCAAACCAACCCCCCCTCACCCCAAAACAACAAAACACCCCAAACCAACCAACCAAAAAAAAACCCCCAACCCCTTCTCAAACCCCAATCACCGCTCTAAGGTATAGCTTCTTATGATAAAAATTTTCTTGGCAGTGAGTGAGAATTTATGTATTTTGTGGACTTAATACAGTGGAAAATTTTTTGGGAAGCACCAGATTCTCCCATTTTTATTCCTTCAGCAACAAGTAGATGTGGGGAGTCCAGAAGGCCATGTACTCTCGGCTGGGGGAGTGCAGCCAGCAAAACTGGGTGCATGCTTAGCTAGATGGGTGAAACGCAGACGTCATGTATCTGGCCACCCTTCCGCAGGGCTGGTTTCAACCTTTGTAGCCCTTACTGATGGGAATATCCTTTCCAGGTGGCAGTCAGGAGTGAATTGTTTGAGCCTGTCTGTTTTCTTTTGAAGGTACTGGGTGAAAGCTGTTGCCAATGAATTGCGGTTGTGAAATGTGCCTGAGAAGAGGGTTCCTCTGTGTGTGAGGAATAAAACCTCTTAAGTAGCGCTGGTAATCTCTTCATTGTGAAATGTCGGTGTGAAATATCCTGGTATTCCAACTGTAATGTTATGAAATGAATATTCAATATATTCAGTAATTTTTCTTTAAGGAAACCAGATGTTGAGCTTGCACTGAATGTTGTCAGTGATACATCTCTCATTTGTTTTGTTTTTAATCCCAGAAGAAGTTATCTGTATACAACAAGATGCAAGAGTCTCTGGAAGTGACCCTTCCGAGCAAGCAAGAGGAGGATGAGAAAGACCAGCCCACCGAGATGGAGTACCTTAACTCTCGCTGCGTCCTCTTCACTTACTTCCAGGGAGACATTGGTTCAGTAGTGGATGAACACTTCTCAAGAGCTTTGAGCCAAGCCAGTAGCTTCAATCCAGAAACTGCCCTTACCAAGAGCAAGGCAGGGCTAAGTCCTCTGTGGAGAGGTAAGAGGAGCAGTAACTTGCTGTCTGTGGTGTGGCTTACTCAATCTGTGTTGTGGTAATGCATATTGTATTGCAGCTGAAATTTTGCTCCTCTGTGGAGGTGGAAAAATTACCCTTGAATTTGAAAGAACTGAGGAGCTTTTTGGGTTTGAGTGATCTGAAGTGTTAAAGGGGGAAAGAGGCACCAAAGTTGAGGAAGAAGCAGGCATATCTCTTCCTTGCCATAGCCCATGGCTCCACCAAGGCCTGGAAGGAACAAGGCAGAGCTCATGTGGGTTATAAACGTCTGCTGCAAGGTTGGAGCCTTAGTTTTTAAGCTCCAAGTGTGAAACTTGGCCTTTGAGGCAAGAGCAAATCTGTTTGGGATGCTGGCCTTGGACATGAGGAGACGGAGCCTTCTTGTATGACTTTGCCAGGCAATTAAGATTCGTCAGTGTCTGCTTTCCAGGCAGGGAGAAGCCAGCACAGGCTGGAACAGGCTCGGGTGCAAGCTCTGGCCCATGTGGCTGCAGCCGTGTGCTGTGGTGCATTGCAGCCTGCCCACAGGTGGAGCTCACAGAAGAGATATGGCCATCGTAACTGGCTTACCACATGCAAAATGGGGATGATGTTACTCTACTTCTGAGCAGGGATAGCCACATTGTAGGTACTGCGAGGCATTTGCATACTGATGGAACATTTATGTCATGCTGTGTATATAAGCATGATCAGTGTAACAAAGAGCAAATCTTGCCAGGTGTATTAGGTGGACTTTACAGATAAGATTTCAAAATTGGTGGCTGGAGAAAGCGCTATTCCCATTTGGTGAATGTGGCAGTCTGGGTAGTCTTTCAGATCCACAGCCGCATTATTTCAGATTGTACCCTTATGTGGGCTGGCAAAAGACACAAACTGCGTGTGGTGAGCAATGGCTTTGAATCATGTTGAGTGACAGAGATACTGTGACGATCGTTGTAGGTGTGGTGGTGTTCATAATCAGCGATGTTGAGGTAAGAGTGTTGTGATGAAAGTCACAGATAATAAAGAGAGACGGAATTTTTGTAAACCACTGTAAAGAGAAAAATAGCACAGAAGGACTTGCTTTCCAGAAAGATGATGACAAATCCGAGGAAGTTTAAGCAAAGGTCAGCACAAGTGGCTAGGGAGCTAGAGGAATTTATGGCTTGAGCCGCAACCATTAATGTTAATGGGAAATTTTCCGTTGACTCGACTGAGAACAGGATAGAACCTCTTCTTTACTAAAAAGGAGACTGGAGCATTTATAAATGGCCCAGACAGGCTGTAAATGTTTTAGAGATGGGATCAAGGCAGTCCCCAGAGACCTCATGACTACAGCAAGCCCTCTTCACTGAGCTTGGAGACATACCACGGGTGAGGTTGTGTGTCTTCTCTTTGGCCTCAGACACCCTGCTGTTTTTCCCTGGCTCCCACCTCCCCAGAGGGCTCTGCAGGGGACAGGGTGGCCTGGTGTTAGCGTTCTTCAGCCATGCTGCCTCCTGACCCCGTGTGCCCCATGCCATCAGTGGGGAACAGAGGTCTGCATGTCCCGAAAGCCTTCCGGGAATAAAGTAAGGGGATATGCTCTCTGCCATTGCTGCACCTGCTGAAGCAGTATGAAAATCCCTGGGGAGACTGCTGAGCAGGGCTGCTTGGTTCTACGCTGTGGACACTAACAAAGCTGAAGGTATTTGCTTCTCCTGAGAAGAGAAGCTGACAAGAGTTTTATTAGGCCCAAATGAGTTTCTGAAAGATGCCTGCTTGAGAAAAGTGGGGAAAGAACAATGCTAACACCTTGGTTTTCTGGTTCATGTACAGGTGTCGAAGATGCTCTCTTACAACAAATGGATGTGAATTTGTATCCCATTACCTAAAGAAATTAAAATATCATTAGCCCAAAGATCTTTTATCAATAACCTTCAGGGGTAGACAGAATTTTTGTTAATAAATTACTCAAAGGCAAATTAAAAAAAAAAAAAAAAGCTTTTGCATTTTGGAAGGTACAGATTTAAATGGAAAGTGTAGCTATGAACTGGCTACTGAGCTCACTGTGTTATTCTCCTTTACACGAAAGGAGGGATTAGTAACATTTTCTGCTTTTTTTTTTTTTTTTTTCATCTCCATTCATTTCAACATTTCATCTCCATTACATACTACATTTCATTGTTATGGAGTTTTTTAGTGTCTTGATGGAAGAGCAAACTGTAATTTCATTATTAAGGTGATACTGTGGGTTCTTTTATTTCAAGGAGGCTTTTGCTTATGTATAGAAAACAGAACCTGTTGTCTTAAAAAGAACAAGTTTTTTCTTTTGTATGTTGAAAATTCTCATCAGTTTAGGCTAAAATTAACTTCAAAACTTATTTTTTATAAAATATAGCTTCCTTCTACAGCAGGCTCTGGTAACATGGACTTTGAATATTCAGTTGTAGGTGTAGCTACCTGAAATCTTTTGCAGGGGCTAATGAAAATAATGATACCTTGAAACTAATGTTACCTTAATGGTATTTTTATCAACATGTTTTTCCTAGTTGTAAGTATTGGATTTCTTTTCTTTCTTGTTTTTTTGTTTGTTTGTTTTGGGTTTGTGGGTTTTTTTTTTCCATCCTGCCTTAGCTGAGAAGTAATGTTGTACTACAGAAAATTCCATACATTGTCTTTACAGCATGTGCGCTTTGGCATTTTTTCAGTGCATGTTGGCCAGCCACCATGAACATTTGCATTAGTCACCACTTCGTGGTATCTGAGTTGTTGCCATCTCCCTGCCTCCCTGTACTTAGAATAGGAAACTGTGGTAACTTTAGTATCTTTCTTGGCAGTCAGTTTTTGTTAAATGCCTCTTTCCCCCCTCCTGAAAAGCCCATGTAAACTACTCAGATTATTTTTTTTCTTTTTCAAGGACAGTGCTGAAATGGCTGTTTGTCCATTGCCGTGTCCCATAAAGGCCAGGTACCTGACATGATGGTATCTGTGCTTGTTGTTTTAAAGGTGGGAAGGAAACGAAACCCTTCAAACACTCTGGAAATGTGTGGTGGTTGGGGGTTGTGGTTCAACACGGAGATGGTTCTTGTTGATGGGGTTGCTGCACACTTAATAGCACTTAGTAGGATCCTCTGTGGGCACTCAGGGTAGATGAAGGTTTTTTTCATGGTCATGTAACCTGGATGAACCCTGTAGCTCCAGTGATATGATTGGACCTTGACCAGTGAGGTTGGCCTATGCAGTTACACTCAGTGGTATCTTGGTAGGGGCTGGCCCATAACAGTTTCTGACAGTAGTAATGGCTTTGTGAAATGTACACAGGTTTCAAAAATGGAGATGATCAAACATGTTTTCTGTGGCCTAGATCTTCTGCATGATTGGTAAAGCCAGTATGGTATGCAATCTGAGATGAATTCATATTGGCGTAATCCGGTGGTTTAAAGTGCTCTCTCCTGATATTAAAGCTGTCCTGCAGATACTTTGTGGTTTTCTGTGCTTTTCTGAAGTGAGATGGTTTGGATTTAGGGCTTTTCCATGCAGATAACAGCCAGATAGTTTCCAAAAACTCTTGATTACAGAGGTTAATTTTCCAGTATAATGGCAATGCATTGTCATGCTGTGCTTCTCTAGTAAGCAGTGAGTGAGGAAAACAACAGACTGGACAAGAAGCAGCTTGCTTTTTGCTTTTTTTTGTTGTTGTTGTTGTTGGCCCTGCTGCCAGCACTGTAAACCATGTGCACTCTCCATCTCAGCCTAATCCCTTGTAATAAGGACAATTTACAAACAAGGAACATTACCAATTTTGGAGGGCCTCAGCTTCTGTAATATGCTTGAAGCTCTCTCCTGTCTTCTAGCATGAATTACAATAGAAATACATTGCTTAAAAAAAGAAAAAAAAAAAAAAAAAGCAACCTTTTGAAGAAAGTCATGTTGGAGTAGTTTGCTAGGTAAGCTTGCAGCCTCTGAGGCTGTTTGGCACAAAGAGAAGTTCTCTACATTTGTCCATAGTGCGTTTGCAAAGTTTGTTTCCAATACTGGAAGTTACTCAGTCTCAATAAACTGCCTAAATCAAAGCCAATTGATGTGTGGAAAAATTTCTATGATTTTAATGGATTTTAAAACAGATACATGAGTGTCCTAGTGATGTAGTCAGAAAACACTTTTATACAGTTTTTGTTTCCAAAATATTTTTGTGTAAGCAAATTTTGGAGGCAGGAGCGTTTGAAGAATCTGCTCATTCTCAATGGTGTCTTCACCCAAGCCTCATTCCAGTTGCTTATTAAACAAAGCAAAACAAAAAATTATTTAAAAAAAATAATATAAATATTTTTGTAAATGTTATACGAGGAACAGAGGATTCTTCGCCTCATCAAATATTAAACTTCCCTGGCTTTATTTCTCCATAGGCTATTTTTATGACTGTTCTTTCATCAGAGGTGAAGTCCTGTATTTTTATGTTTCCATCGTTGACAAAAAAAAAAAAATAATATTTGAGCTGAGACATATTGCATGAAGCAGTACTTTCAAACATGAGCTGGCAAGAGGATTGTGAGAATGGAGATGCCAATACTTTCCTACACATCAAAAACACTAACCGCTCCTTCAAAAGAGGAATTTTTAGAATGTGATTTCATAATGTAGAAGTATTGGAATCCATTTAAATACAAATTGAGCCCTGGCTGTAAGAAGTAGTGAGTCTTTTATTTCTGACAAAACGTTCTTTCAGTCACATAGATGTCTCTGCTTGTCTGATCCTATTGGGTACAGGGCAATATGATATATTTTCTAAGGTACTAACATAAAATGCATTAGATATGATCCTTATCCCATCAAAGTATGCAATTAGTTTGAGAAGATCTGGTATTCTTCCTTTAGCCAAATGTCTCCTATTCTGCAGTGTGACCTGGTTCTCTGTTCTCAGAAGCTTTTGCAGCCACAACACCTGCCTTTCCAAATGTGTTCTGGTCTGGTAAGGAGTTAGCCTCTCCTCATAATTCCTGTACCAAAGTCCTGAGAGCGCTGTTGCTCTTCAGCCTGAAAAATAAGTCTTCTCTTGGAGGATCTTATCAATATGTGTAAATACCTGATAGGAGGGAATGAAGATGGGGAGCCAGGCTCTCCTCAGCAATGCTTGCCAACAGGACAAGAGAACTGGAAAACAGAATATTCCATCTGAACACAAGAAAACAGTGGAACAGGTTTCCCAGAGAGGTTGTGGAGTTTGTATCTCAGCCAAAATCTGGCTGGACACGGTACTGGACAACCTGTTCCAGGTGACCCCACTTGAGCAGGGTGGTTGGACTAGATGATCTCAAGAGATCCCCTTCTATCTCAACTATCCTGTGGCTCTGTAATTGCTGAGGAAGCTTGAGTTCAGTGTTACGAATTTCAGAGAGCAGAAAATCATTGTGGGGTGTTTGTTACTAAATCTGTTGTTCAGCTTCAGTCATACTTCATTTCTCTCCTCTCCACCAGAAAGCTCAACAATTTCAAGCCAAAGGAGCAGTTTCCCAACTTCATTTTGGACCAGCTCTTATCAGCCTCCCCCTCCACCATGCCTAAGTGGAGTACACCCTGATTTCCCTGTTACTGCACCAGGCACCTTCCCAACACCAGATCCTAGCAGCTGGCCAGGACACGGCCTTCATCAGACTGCCCCGCCTCCTCCCCCTGCTGCATCTGAATCCTGGCATTATCCTTTAGCATCTCAGGTGAGCCCTTCGTATGCACACATGCATGACGTGTACATGCATCGCCATCATCCTCACCCACACATGCACCATCACCATCCCAGCTCGCACCGCGACCCTCGGTACGGGTCCCTGCTGATGCCATCAGTCCGCGCAGCCAGGATTCCTGCTCCCCAGTGTGACGTGACAAAGACAGATCCCGCTGCTGTCACCAGCGCTACCTCAGCATGGGCTGGAGCCTTTCATGGAACAGTGGACATTGTGCCAAGTTTTGGGTTTGACACAGGTAAGGTGGTTCAATTGTGTCTGTGACTTGTTTTAGCAGGAAGAGTTTGAGCAAAAAGTGGGCTCCTTGCAGCTGAAGCAGGGCTTGTTCTCAGAGCCTTCTCCAAATACATTTCCAGGTGGGAATCCCTCCTGAAATTGCTGTCAGGGCAGATGAGCTGTGAAACATCCAGCTCTCACTGCCTTTTGCTGAGAGATCTTTGTCTGCCTTAGTCCCATTCAAGCCAAATGAGTTGTGACGTGATATGGGTTTTTTTGGTTTAAATCTTGTGGGAAATGTTTAATTAAACCTCCATGTGGAAGCTTCCAGCTTGTTCAGCTAGTTCATGTGTGCATTCACCAAAATATGGCTCCAATGAGGACTGAACTAATAACTTGTCAGTACATGAGGATTGCATCTTACTCATCTAAATTGGAACAGATCAGCATTTCCTTCCTGTGTAGAATCCAGGTGTCACATAGAGAGTAGAGATGCTAGTTGAGCTGTGCTCACCATCAAACTAAACTTCTTTCTGTAGGGTCTAGGCAGAGGTCTGTGAATTAGATTCATTTTACTGCAGCCTCTGAGCCATGAACTACATCTGCGAGCTTTGACTGGCAGGCTCTCATCTCAGCATTAGGAGCAGTGTAGCAGCCCTCACTGTTCATAGTTGCTTGTAATAAGTGATGGGTGACTAAGGTTCCAGCGCATCCACCCTGGAGCTCACGTGCACTATTGAGGTCTCCTTTTTCTGCTTGATATTTGTCTCACCAGCAGCAATCGTTGCAGATCAGTACATCTTAAATGGGTTTTGTTATTTATTAAGGAAATACTGCTTTTCTGTCTCTGTTCTCTTTTCCTTAAAGTATCTGTTTGTCTCTCTTTTTGATAGCTGTAGCTAACTGATTCAATGTGTGAGAAGCACTTCCTTGCTTTGATTAGTGTGCAGGGGAACAAAGAATCGGTGGAGAAAAAAAATGCTGTTTCTTAAATATGGAATACTATGAACCCAAAACCCAATTATAACTGAGCTAACCTAATACAAATCTCTCTCTTTTCCTTTAATAGCACCTGGGAACCAATAATCTCTTCTAAATGCCATGCCACTTGCTGCCTCAAGAAATTAAGAAAAAGCATAATAGGATTCTAAACACCGGACAATTTTATATCTTTTAATAACCTTTAGAGCCATGCCAATGATACAAGAGGAATTACATTTTATGCTTATGATAATCAGACAAGACTGAGATATCAAATTTTGCCCTTCTGATAAATTCCACAATGGGAGTGAGCTGCCTTCTCTGAAGTGTGAGCAAATTGTCACTGTCTCCGTTAGAGGGGACGAGCTCCCTGGTCTGATGGTAGCACCAACAGTCCAGCTCCAGAGCTCTGGTACTTGACTTACCTTGTTGGGGTGGAGCCAAGAGCCGCATAAGGGATTGTTAGTCAGGAGAAACCACTATCTGGTTTAGGTATAAATCCAGCCTAGACTGTGAGTTGGTTTAGTGCTGCACAAGTTGGTTTGCTTACAGCTACTTTGTTGGCAGTAATGCATCTAATAAACCGGGTGCTTTTTTCTCTTTTCTGTAAGAGCAGAGTAAGTGAAAAAGGACTTGTGGGTTCTAGAGCTACCTTACAGGACTAATATAGCCTTTGCTTGGTGCTGTCTCTTCCTTGTGAAAATCCCTATGGAGGGGTACAGCTGGATGCTAATTTTGTCAAGATCCTGATTTGGCAGTGCTTAACAGTGGCTTGCATGGCTTGTGGTTGTCTACTCAGCGTGGGAAGCAGTGGAAAAGGCCTGAACTGTTAATTTCTGGCCCATGCCTGATGTGTGGGTTTTAGTCCATGAGTTCTTGTGGGGGAAAGAAAGGGGGGAAATGTGTGACTAGTTTGCAGGAACAGAGGATCTCAGCAGACCGATGTCTCACTTGTCTGTGACTATTCAAAATGGCCATGAACTGATACACAGCAGCAAAACCTTATCAGGCAGCCCCAGTTTGGCATGTAAGGCTTTGGAAGCAAGGGAGCAAGCAATGAAACACAGCAGGTAGTGGCACCCTGTGACATTACAATTATTTGCTCTCTTCCCCTACACACTCATCTCTCCTGTGCCAGCAGAGGCTTGCTGTGAAAAGCAGGAAGGCTCTGAGCTCCCTTTTCAGCCTTGCCTGCAGCTTGTACATTTGAGACAAATGCTTTGGTGACAGGCAATTGAGGCGTGATCATAGTGAAAAGAGGGAGCATGATTGCCCCAGCGTTTTGCGTGCATGTCAAATGGTGTCATCCCATGACACCGTGTGCTGCTGGGGAGAGGAGCCGGGCTGCTGAAGCACCACACTGAGTCTCATCCAGCACAGGCACTCTATGTCCACTCCAGGGGAGGATTATACTGGATAAGTCTCTGCATTGCACAGAATTTCGTTACATTTAATTCTAATGTGAGATGGCAATCTCAACAGAGAGGCTAAAAACTGAAGGGCCTGGAAGAGGGTACTGGTTTTTTGTGGCATAGAAGTGTTTCTCCGGCATAGGATAAGGCTGTAGTGGCAAGAAAACATCAGTTCTGGAAGTCTTTGCTCATATGTCCCTGGAGAATAAAAGACATCAACCTGTGGAGCTGCCAATATATCAGATTCCAGGAGCTTCAGATGATTTACTTAAAAAAGCTCATTTGGTATATACCTAGACAATGTTTTTCAGAGCCTTTCAGATATGAAAATTATTTCCTCCCATCCTCTCTTACTGTGGGTCACATTTCTTGTGCTACTGTCACATGCGATTATAGAAACATTTGCAAAATTCCTCACGCTGAATTATATGGAATGGTAATGTTGAGATTGGGACAGGCTGGCTGTAATCGTACCCTCTTCCAGCTACATTGTGCATCTCTGCCCTCCTAAGACAAATATTTGATCTCATGAATGGATGATGCTGCATCACTTCAAAGGTTAAGAGGGGATTCCCCTTGCATGCACTGTATGGTTTAGAAATCTATCTTTCAGAACAGATTGTGTGGGACATCAGCGTATCGCTATTCATAGAGCTAACAAAGTATTGATCTGTCTTGCACATCTGTTTGAATTTACATGGTCCTGTTTTAGAGGATGAAGAGGGATTTAGCTACCTGAGTCCCATTAAATGTAGCTTAATCCTCACACTGTATACTCCAAATTAACCCTTTTAGAAGCTTCTTTATTGGTACAGGAGGGATTAAAGAAAATGCTAGTCTGCATCTAAACCTGTTAAAACCTTTTATGTTTGTGTCTGCTGGTATGGAGTGTCTTTCCAAAGCTGTAGTGCCCAAGCTATAGTGCTCTGTACGGAAGTATGTTTTATATCAAGCATTGATATCAACACATTGATATAAGCACAGCATGTTTGTGCTTTAGGCCACAACTCCCTGCCATGCCAATGTCAAGCAGAGCAAGGTCAGCCTTTAACAGCACTGACTGCGGTTCACTGGATAGGCACAGAGAGCATTGCTGGAGCTGTAATCCCATGGTGTCAGGGCTAAATCCTCATGTTTACACTAAGAGTGCACAAGGTGAGTTGAGCACTTAAGGCCAGCAGGGTGGGGAGGGAAATGACTGTATTGCAGTGGAGCTGATGGCTACCCACATCAGTGTTTTCCCCAGGAACAGGGTGGGAGGCTGCCCTGCGCGCTGGGTACTTGAGGTGATCACTTGGATCCAGTTGAGCTGACAGCTGCTGGATCTGCAGGCAGCCCATGGGGAGGAAAGCACTGCAACTTGCCCTGCTACTGCAGTGCCTAGGAGGGTATCATGTCCAGTACACTAAAACCAGCATGAGATTTTAGGGCTGGAAGTCTATCTTAAAATTTGAGGTGTGCATCCTTTGTCATCCAAAGTTATGCACGTTAAGGTGCGTAACTTTAAATTTAGGTGAATTAATCGACATCCTCTAGTCGTGGCTAACTATGGCAAGTCCACTTTTGGAAATGCCTGTACACATCAGTGTGTCATGGTCAGTCTGCTGCCTTCTGTAGAGTTGTCTCTGTTCACAGACACCCCACGAGTTTGTCACAACTCGCTAAGTTTTTTTAGATGCTCCCACAGAACCTGCATTCTGCTTGTGTGGCAATGAGCTATAATGCTGGTATCCCAGAGACAGGGTTGTGCTGGTGTGGCAATACTGACTCATGCAACACAAGCGAGGGTGTCCTTGCTGAGAGGAAAATGTTCTTGCAGCAGGCTGCAAGAGAAAGCGCTCGGTTACTAGCAGGGTTGCGCTTGGATGACTTATTAGGACTGGAGATATCCTTGTCATGAAGGAGATGGGAATATAATGAGGAAAAGGCATGGAAAGTGTTCTACATTCAGTTCTGTAACTAAGGCAACTTTGGTTTTTTGGATTGTTTTCTCTGGCTGTTTAGACTTAATGGCTATACCTTAAACCTCCTTGTTACAGTTGTTTCTGTTTGTTCCAAAGGCACCTAACTAGGAAGGTGTCTGTTCAGCTGGTTATTCCCCTTCTACCAGTTGCCACTCTCAGGTGGACATTCTCTTAAACAGGTGTGTGTGTGTCATTTCTTTTTAAGCTGCTAGAAGCCATATAACCTGTTTCTCTTCTCATAGGCTTCCATTGCCTTTAGTGCTCCACTGGTGAACTGAAATGTCTTCCTTATACTTGGACAGGTTTCTGCTGTCTGACTCCTGGGGTTTTGTTTGTTTGTTTGTTTTTTCTTGGTCATCTTTGTTTAGAAAAATTATAAACAGTAGGGGAAAAATAACACAAAATTGTCATCACTAACTGAGGGTGCTTTGAAGAAAACTAGCAGCAGTTTATGATGAATCTGCCTGTGAATGATACTGCCAAGGAAAACGAGTAATTTTTAAGCAACAAGGAGACATCATTGAGTAAAGAGCCTCTGGACATGTTTCTAGGGATGCTTTAGTTGAGGGATATCCCAGTTTTTTCAGTCTAAAAAATAAGTACAAGTGCATGTGAAATGGAGCAGAAAGCCACTGAACAGGGTTTGGTATGCTGTCCCTGTCCTCTGTTTTCCCTGTCTGTTCACTGTTGGACACAAATGTTTGGACACTGCTTAAGAATCCTCACATGGATAGAGCCATACACTGTCATCTTTTATGTGGCTGTTAGTTCTTTTGTAGCTCAACTCTGACACAATGTTGATCGTCATTAAATGTTTAACTGTACTCTTAAAATAATGAGGTGGTGATTAAATCTGAACCCATCATGCCTCTTAGGCTTTCTGAAGACATATGGGTCTTCCTTTGTCTTTCATTATGTGATCAGATATGGAAATGAGAGATCCAGGCTTAGCACATGGATCTATCAATTTTCACACGTTAAAGATCAAATTAACATGGAGCTTCAATGGTTGCAGCATCATTGAAGTCTGGAATTGCACCTACTTACATGGTGAAATTGGCCTTAAATTCTTAGTAGATCAGGTGGCTGATGCATTGGTAGCTACACTATGTAGCAGGGCACTGAGTCATTCATATATATATATATATATATATATATATATATATATATGTATATTCTATATAGCAATGATGAATTATAGAAGGAAGGGCACCTTCATTTCACAAAATGCGATTTACTTGGCTCAAGTCATCAAGGGGCAGGTTTTGAATCGATGAGTCCTAACTGCCTTACTACCTCTGAAAATCTGTCCCTGCACGTCTCTCCTTTTTACTTTCCCTATAAGTGAGCAAGAATGCATCTTCTTTGGGAAGTTTCATCTGCACATCCCCCTCTATTGTCTGGATTTTAGGTATACGCCCTGTTGGGTGTAAATCTAGCAAAGCTTGAATCCCTCTGAGGCAGAGAAATCCCAGATTATAACACAGGTTCCAAGTCTATAATGCTAAAGCCACAACATAGCACCACATTTATTAGATAGCCCTCACTTTTTATAAAGGAAAATGTTAGAGGAACTCATAACAAATGCAAGCTGAAAATCATTAATTTTTCCCATGTGGAAGCACTAGCCATTCTTGGCTAAAAATCTGACACTCTGTAGGTGAAATTATTTGGGGATTTTACATGCTTCGTGAACGTTTTCCCCTCTCTCCTCTGTAAGGTGAAATGCCACAGAAATTGTGAGATCCTAAAGCATCACAGACCTTTTCTAAAAGAGGTAGGGTCTTTGGCTGCCCCCTGACAGGAAAAATTATTCTGTTGTGTAATGGATTATCTATGCAGACCTTGCTGGAGGATTTTATCATGCCATGCTCCAGATGAGGTCAAAACAAAGATTTTATCAGCATTCCTGAACTGCTTGAGTGAGTCTAAAACTTAAGTGTGGTTTAAGCTTATCCCACATAAAATAAAAAATTGGGAGCAATAGTAATGTTACTAGCAAGTCCACTAGGCTGGTAAATGGTGGAGTGTTTTGGTTTTTGGGGTTTTTTTTAAATCAAAACCTGTTTATCCTTACTTCAGTTTCTTGTAGAGGGAGAGGAAAAAGCTATATCAGATTTTAATTATTTTTTTTTCTTTTCTGAAATGTAGGTCTACAGCATCAAGACAAGAGCAAGGAAACTTCTTGGTTCTGAAGTTCAGAAAAATTAAGACCAGCTATAGCTGGAGTCAGCGCAGCTGGGCGGGCGATGTAACAGTCGTTGACTCCTGCATGGGGCAAAGGACACACATGAAGATGAAGAGCCAACCATTCTGGTTTTGCTATTGAGCCTTTTGTTTGTAAGGCCATTTATGGGTCCCACAGTGTTGAAAAAAATCAAAAACCTAACTTTTCTTTCTTTCTTCATCTGAGCCTGCTGCAGCTGGGCAACCTAACTCCTTTCTGCTCCTTTAACAGTGTTTTGTTTTGTTCAGCTTGATATTTTTATGAACAGTCTCAATTGTCAGGAAAAAGACTCTCCCTTAACTACAGTGCGCCTTTCAGGAATACAGTATTTTGTAGCTCTTTGTGCATCTATTTTTGTAGAAATACAGAAAGTTTGGGTAAGGATTGATGGGCTATTTTAGGATGACATATTTTTTTAAAAAAAATTGTAAAATTGTTAAGTTCTGTTTAAAGAACTTGCTCTCAGAGAAGCACTGGCAAAAAAAAGTATAAAAATGCTATTTTTAGATGTCTGTGATGTGTTTGTGCATTTTGGGTTTTTTTGTTTGTTACCTCAAATGTCTATCTTTCCTTTCTTTTTAAAGAGCTAAACCTTCCCTTGTTTCCACATTACTAGATTTTGATGTTTTTGTCCTTCTGTTGTAGCTTAAGCAAGTATAATTCACACCTAAAGTTTCAGCCAAATATTTTTCCTGTTGTTAGATTGTAGTAAGGGTGGTTTTATTTTCTCGCTTCTGAAGGTGGCTTTGTGTTGTACTGACTGTCAGAAACTTGCAAACACCTGTAGCATGGAGCAAAGTTTGGGGTTACAGGAACTGCATTTCCAACCCAACCATTCTTTCAAAATGGACCAAATAATCTTACAGATTTAAATCAGACATGAGTTTTGGCCTCATCTATGATCCACTGTAGCTGTTGAACACAGTCACCTATGGGTTATGGTTTAGGCCCTTATAGTGCTAATAAACATCAGTATACTCTTATTTTAACTCATGAGGCAGGACTTTCAGCTAAGCCATTTCAAGGGTAGTAACTTATCAATATTCAGGAAAGAAATGTCAGTTTTATAAAAATGTGTGACTTCTGGAAACAAAATGTTTTCAACTGACCTGATCTGTCTGCTGAGCACCTGAAGGAAAGAGCTGAAATTTTCAGCTCCTGTTGACTTCAAAATCTGTTGTCTAACCTCAGTTTTGCTGTGGGCCTTATGAGACCCCAGCTGCAGCTCTTGAATTTCGTAAGAATTTGCACGTGCTCAGCGTGCACAAATTCAGGCTTGGCTGTTGTCTGGGTAAGAATCTGAACTTGGAAATGACATGGCCATGTCTCGCCACAGTGCTCTGCAAACTGTTTGGGAAACCCCATTTCTGGCCTGGGACTTGGGTCTGACTTGCATAATAAGGACTTCCCTTGAAGCCAAGATGAGCATGATCCAACTCTGAATAAGGGCTGCAAGATTACTCCTGGCAGCCCCAGTCCTGTGTTGGGCTGGACCTGGGTCAGCCTCCATGCCCAGCCCTTGGCAACTCCAACAAGTGTCAGCATGTGCTTAGGTGTGACCAAGCACAGGATTGGGGCCTGGGTTGCCAGATCCTTGCTATTGCTTGGAGATGTTGCCTTTCTGCTCTGTGCACCCTCTGTAATATTTCCCGTGGCTCTTATAACCTATTATATTTGTTGCCACTGTTCTCAGACATCCCTGTCTGAAAGACAAACAAGTTAAATGGAAACCAAAACATAAACACATGGCTGAGATAAGAAACACTTAATTTTAAGGCAACGAGCATTGTAAATATAGGTTTGTCAGGTGGAGACCACATGGATCTGCGTGTGGAAGGGGAGGGAGAGTGTTGGGATGTGCACACCACTCCGAGGTTCAGGCTTCCCTCCCTGTGCTGCTGCTTCTCTCCAGGCTTTTTGAACTTGGTTCTGTGAGGTGTTGAGTGTTCTCCCTTGCCATGTGAGAGGGCTTGACATACTGGCACTGGAGGCATTAGGGTGATGTCACAATTTGGCAAGATCCTTAAGTGTGTACCTTGCAGAGTTGAAGTTTTAGACAGTGTAAAAGTGCTGAATGGACTGTGCTTAAATATTGCTTTAAAATAGTAGGGTTGTAGCTTTTGTTCTGGGATCCTGAATTAAATGTGGTTGGGTTTTCCTCCTTGTCTTTATAGTCCATCAGCATTTCTTTCTCTTAATAAATTCCACTCGCATTACAGTTCCATATATTATTGCTGCTCTGGTGGAGCTAGCTCCTCAATTTGTCAATGAAAATGCAATGGGAAAACTGTATGGGAGGGAACATAGTAATAGCTGCCATGGTTCACTTTCTTATCAGGATGGTATAGTTCAGGAAGTATCTCAAGAATAAGAGTTCTGATATAGGAATTCTGACAATATTAGAAATACTGGGAGGGAAAAAAAAATCCAAGGTTTGGTGGGTGGTTTTTTTCTGTACTTATCAAAGCTGGAAGGCAAATAGGCTGTGTATCCTCTTCGAACTTCAGGGCTGGAGAGTTTGGGTAGCAGGGGAAGGAAAAAGGCAACAGTACTGCAAGAGCAGTCAGTTCATTGCCTTCCTCTTTGCAAGTTCAGATAATGAGGGGCCTTCTGTTTCCTAGATATCAAAGCAGAACGGGACAGGAAAAAACAGGCTCACAGTTGCACTGGAATTCCTTTCTGGATTATTTTATTGAATTGATGGGTAGTGGGGATGAAGATGTGGTGAAGCTATTGCCTCTTCCACCTCAAGAACTACTGGTATGTGCCCAGTTTTCACTGCTGAACCTGTGGGTGTGCTGAAGGAACTTCTGTTGCTCTGCAGGCTCTGGGAGACAAGTGCCAATAAAAACCTGCTATTGTCTATAGCCATTCATGCATGAGTCAATCAACTTTGAAAGTCAAATAAATTAGGTTTTTTTTCCCTCAGTCACTAACCATCCCCTGTACTAACAAGCAAGTTGAAAATAAAAGCACAAGTGCATAGCAGTAGCCCTACTTCTTTGAAGGATGGGAAAGAAAAAATCCTTCCCTGTGACAAACTTTTAAGTTAAATTCTGCAGATTTACTTCTCTCTCTCTCTCTCACGCACACTTATACACACGCACAAACGTGCTTATGAGAAGCAGATGCTGTGAGGGTTTTGTTCTTGAAAGAGGAGGGGAGCATTTGCTCACAATGTTGCAGTTATGGAGAATTGATGGCAGTGAGAAAGAAACAGAAATGTTAAGACTGCTCATGTTTCCACAGATAGGAAAAAAAGGCCCTTAAAATCAGGTCACAGACAAGTTATGTGTCTTAATGCATTACTAAAGGAGTTGTTTCATTCTTTTTGTGTGTGGTGAGTTCTGATGCTGTCCCAAGAAAGTGGATGATTCATTTTGCAAGGACTTATAAAACATGATGTACTCTGTCACTATTTCTGGGAGAACACAGCAAAATCATTGTTTTATTTCAAGAAAATCTACATACTAAACTCCAGGATTTTATTTTATTTCTATTAATGTTGAGAAATCTGCTGACAATTTTTGTGTCTTCATTTGAAGACTGGGAGAGTTCAAGCTGTCTGCCAGTTTTTGAAAAGCAGATACCAGTTTTTATCAGCTGGGCATTTCCATCTGAACAATATAGTGCAGCTACTGACCACCCAGCAGATTTGATTTCTGGAGAGCTGAATAAGCTATGCTTGGCAATAGTAAAATGTACTTTTCTTGGATTCCTTTCCTCACCAGTTACCAGTTTATCTGATGCCTCTTTCGTAGTGTGAAGATCTTCAGTGAATGACAGTTTTCTCTCAGTTGTCTGCTTCTGCCTCAAACCATGCTTTCGAGGATGAATCTCTCATCACAGCTTTCAGAGAGCGCAGAGGTTGCGGGAGGGCAGTGTCACATTTCCTACCTGCGCTTACGATCAACTTGCCTGTACCTAGCCTTTCTGCTTCCAGACTATTGTGTATGTGTTGTTCTTCTCCCACAATTCTTTCTGTTTATGTATATATCTGCATACATATATGCACACACACAGGTAGCTATGCCTGGTTCCCTCCATTCCACCCTCATGCTTCAAATGCATGTCCTTTGGAAATGAATTGAATGACATCTCTAAAGTTCATCCGAGACTGAGAAAATGTAGGCATTTTGTTGCATTCTCTGTAACCTCAGGAGTGGGTGTCTCCATACTTGTAAAAAACCAAAACCAAACAACAACAAAAACCCAGCTAAAAAAACCCTTTTCAAAACACCTGATTTGTTGTATCTGTAAAGATGACCATGGAGTTAGCAGAGTTAAGTAAAGAGGTGCAATATATTGCCTTTCAGCAGACAAGAATATCTTTTTGAGTATGATTATTTTAATTAATTTCAGGTACAAGCTTTTTCTCCATATCAATGGACCAGCAACATATATTTCTTATAAACAATTTAGAAATAGATATATTTTTAAAATTGACTTCTTGGCTTTAATATGTCAGCCTTTGAGCGTTTAAAGGGTATTTGGATGATAAATATTGTGTGTGTATTATTAAAAGAAGTTGATGCATGTTGTTTGGAATTGAAATCTCATGTAAAGCAGGAAAGTATTTAAACATAAATACTGCTTTTACATGTTAGCCCTATGGGCACAATGTGACAGTTGTGATGCAGGAAGATGTCCCTTTAAAGACTAAGGGACTCTTGCTTGAGGAAGGTCAAAATCCAGTCCCAGAGACAGGAGAGATGGGAGCAATCTTCTTGCAAAGGCTGAGCTAGTAGAGCTGTGAGCAGAGATGATTCTCTCCAGCATTGTATGTAGATGGTTGGGCAGCCACAGCTCAACATGTTAAAATTAGGCTGTGTTGGCAGGTTTATAGTTGCCCCTTCTTACGGGCTGAGCTGGTTGCCAAGGGCAATTAGAGGTGTCCCTGGAAACCTGTGTTTTAGCTGCCCTTGGTCTGCACAGTGCCCGTGACCTGTTCTCTCTTCTTGCTTTGTAGTCTTGCTCATGGTGGGACCTGTGAAAGCTGGGCTGGAGTTCCCTGTGATATGCAGGATGTTTTTAGCTCCCAATAAAGATAGTTTAGATATGGGGGTAGTTAAAACACCACGGCTATGTCATGCACCTGCTCAAAGGCTCAAGCCTTCAAGATGGATCAGCTGTGCATCACTGATGGCCATTTGCATACAGGAGCCTGAATACTGCTTCCTCCCCTCGGTGTCTTTGGAAATCTTCAACGGCATGGAGAGCATTGGGACCAGCCTTGAATGCCTAGATGGCAATCCAGTGTTGGCTAGCACAGCGTGGTGGCCTGGGGTCTGGTCCAACATTGGTGGACATCAGTTGGAATCAGCATTGATTCCGGTGAGCTTGGGCTCAGGTAACTAGTACCTATAGACAACCAATATTTATAGCAGTTGAGGTTTACAGTAACCTAGTAAAGTATCTGCAGAACTATGCTGCACTTTCCCTGCTAGCTGTTTGTAGCTGTTGTTTAAAACCATCAGTCAAATCAGGGTCCCTCTCCTCCCCCGACCTGTTTTCTAACCCTGCTTCCCTCAAAACTCTATTGAACCTTTTTGCTCCTCTCATCAAAACTGATAGGGGGGCTTTGTATAAAGAAAAGTGTCACTGTTTTAATTACTGAATAAATAATTTAATGTGAATTTTATGGTTACATTTTTTATGTAGCATTTTTTGTTTGGTCTGTATTTCTCAACAATTAGCTAATGCTTTTTATTCTTATGCAACTGAAGAACTCATAAATCTGTTTGTAAATTACAACATCCTGAGTTTCTATTTTTTTCATGAGATTAATTTTTAGAGCTAAGGGTCTGTTGAAAATTTTGTAAAACAAGTGTTCTAAACTGGTTCTCTACTAAAATTGGATGGAGTGAAAGCCTAGCATCAAAGGGATTTTAAACAGGGCTCTCATGAAGGCACTAGCTTTCCATTTCAGATACTGTCAATTGCTTTTGCTACAATATTTTTTTTAAACTATCTTTTTTTTTTTTTTTTACACTGTCTTTTTAAGTTTCATTGGCACTAGAGGCTAGGCTACAATCAGACCTAGTAGAATCACTACCTGACACTTCTTAATGTAAGACCCTTTTTAATTTTAACATTTTCTAATGGTTTTGACAGTCATCAAGTAGAGACTTTCCATTCAAGTTAGCTATCTCAAATTATTGACTTTTTTTGGCAAAGTTCAGATATTCCCACTAGCAAGGTAATTTTGCCTCTGCTAAAATTCTTTTACAACCGTTTAATTAAGAAATGTTTGCATGTCTATGTCCTGGCTCGAGGGCTGAATGTTTGGTGTTTTGGTCACAGATACATCATTTACTGTTCCAACAGAGGAGAAAAAAACTTTCAAACTTTGGCCAAGCCCTGAGCTTTTGAAAAATTGCCACTTGCACGCAATCAGCAGGGAGCTGTTAAGAGTTTAGTTGCAAAATCCTGCAAAGATCCTGACCATATGGGATGTACTCCGTTACAGAGCATCAGGAGATGAGCAGGATTTTCCTCATACATCCTGCTCCAGGCCCTATTTTCAGGACCAGTCAGCAATCAGGGTTCTTTTTCATTGCACAAAATCACTGTATTCTTTCTTAGGCTGTGAGGAAGAGATGGAGAGAGCTGTCAGACAGAAACTCAAGGAGAGGAAGGCCAGGAAAGAAGCAGAATGGTTTCAAAAGTTTCCTGTAAGACAGAATAGGGTTGGGAGCTACTGGGAGGGAAGCAGCCTGCATGGACAACAGGAATGAAGATGGGATGCAGACCACTGAAAAATAAGCAAATAATGCCTAATAATTGCTTGGCTAATACATGAAAGATGTAGAGGGGGGTGTGACAACCATCAGAATAATGTGAGGACTTAGAGATTTGGTATAAACTAAGTGTCAAGGAAAATTTAGGATAAACATTGCAGGAAATTTCCTTCTTTGAGGAGAGATATTTACACTGTGGTTTAGTCTGTGAGAAAGGATGTGGGAGCCCTGTTGCTTTAAGACAATCGCAATTGTGTTTTGGGAAGCAAGCATGAGTTAAGCTAGGGGATGAGCTAGCTGAAGTACTTTTTCGTCTCTGCTGCTCTCACCAGAGTAGGCCTCAAGCTGTGTTGCACCACACTTGGGTTTCCAGGTGCTCATGGGGGTTATTTCTACATGCTCTCACTCCATCAAGAAATGACAACAGGGGAAGTGATGCTCAAGCATAAGCATTACTTTGTGACTGTTTTTATTTGTGACAATCTATGTCCTTCCTTAATGTAAATCAGTGTCACTCAGTTGGCTTTAGTGACCTTAAGAATCTCATCAGTTGCATCCAGATAAATATTGTTTTGGGTGTTATCAGCTGGAAACTGGGTCCTGGCCTGATGCCTGGGGAAAGTGCTTCCCTCAGAGCCACGATCCAGATGGATGATCTCAGTGGTGCTCAGCCCACCTGGTATGGGGGAAATGCCACAGAAAATGTGAGCAGTGTGGCTGACATCCTCCATGCTGGTGAGGGAGGTGAGCATGGCCGGGGGACAGCTACTGGGGCTGAGACTGGCTGGCCCCTCTGGGACAGGGGTGCCATCAGCCCTTCATGGAGACCCCAGGCATGATGGGGCTGGTCATCCTGAAAGGACCTCAGACTCTGAGGGGTTATGCTGCCTGCATGACGTGGGAA